TAAATATTAATTATGTGGGTCTATTTTAATGTTAGAAGTAGTAGAAAAGGGGTGTAGGAATTTAAGCTCAATAAGACATAATAAGAATAATAATGTTATTATATTAGTTATTTATAAGAGAAAGAGAAGTAGTAGTAAGAACAAATAAGGGTTTGGGAGGAGATACATAAAGTTGCTAGCAAGAAGAAAATCTAGGAGTCAACCGGAGAGTTAAAACAACCTTCAATCCAAGGTAAGGGTGTGTTCTGACTCTATAATAGGGTATATGATGAATAATATGTAGGATTGGGTTTGTAAAATTGTTTTTGTTTTTGTTTGAAATTGATATATTGGTGAAATTGAGGGATAAATTTAGAATCCAATTTTATATATTTACATATACTGTAGCGTGTTCGTAAATATATTGTCTCGTTAGAACCATATGAAAATATATTGTTCATAATATATTTATTATTCATTTGACGGTGAAGATATATAATGATTCATATAATTTAGTATTGTAGCGTTATACATATATAGTGGCTGCTTCACTGCTATATATAATTTGTTAGAGGATGATATTTTAGCGTAGCGGCACAATTGTAGAATTACGTTCCAGGTGTAGCAGTTTAGAAAAATTAGTTAAATAACCATTGATATATAATAATTGATAGATGATGATACTGTAGCGGCACTGCTAGATATTGTAGCGAGAGAGATAAAATGCAAGTACTATGTATATATATTCTCCTTCTACTGTAGCATGAATGAGTTGATGAAGAATAAGTTTCAATTACTATTATAATTTTTCATTAGTACATTAATAGTAATACTGATTAATATTGTTAGTATAATTTCGTAGAAGTTTTAAATTAGAGACAAGTCTTTGGATAATTAAGTTAATTTAAGTTAATTTTAATTTCGATAGAGTTGTCAATAAAGTTGTTAGAATTGCCGATAGAGTTGTCAATAGGATTGTTAGAGTTGTCAATAGTGTTGTTAAAGTTATCAATAAAGTTGTTTTGAGTTATTATAAGTCACTTTTTATTTATTTTGCGTAATTCTAACATGTTTAGAGTTATCAGTAGGATTAATTTGTGGAAATCAATATTTGACAGAGATGGGTTTAATAAGTTGCAGAATTAGCTTAATTAATTATAGTAGTATCCCATTAGATTAATTCAAACTAAGTAACAAATTTGTTGGTACCTAGCAGAGGTAATTGTTAGATTAACACTTAGTTTGTATCTAGAGTAGCAGTAGCAGGGTTAATAACAATGGTGCTCCTGAAATTAAATTTGCCCTGAGATACTAAGTAGCAGAGGATGATTCAATTAATTTAGCAGAGTAGTATATTAATAGCAGATGCAATAATTTAGCAGAGAATTATCGATAGAAGTAATTAGTAGAATAAATTCGCAGAAAATTAATGTAGTAACTAGTAGTAATTTATTAAGTGGATAACAGGTAGTATATGTTGGTAACAAGTAGTATTTTTAATAACAGAGAGTAATGGTACTAGTTTGGCAGTGAGATATTAGTAGCAGGTAGTACCTATGCTAGCAGTAAATGTATAGACTTAATAAGAGTAGTGCAGAGTAGAAAATGTTGGTAATTTAGCTAAAGATTAATTAATCGGGAATAGTCGAATTGTTCGAACAAATTCAGAGTGTTTGTGGTATATTTTGGTTGATGCGGTGTAGTGTATACTTTGCTGTAATATGTAAAGTTACAGGTAGTGTTGAATTGGTCGAATTGCCTTTACTTATTGGCAAGATAAAGTTATAGGCTTATGGACAATGTTGATTTGTGGTTGACTTGCTTTTGAATTATTGTTGTTGATATGTTGTTGTTAATTATAGTTGATGTTGTTGGTATGTTGCCTCTAATTATTGGCAAACATCAAGTTGTAGGCTTAATGTCAATGATGAATCGTTGTTGTTGTAGTAGTTGTTGATGACATTCATATTGTTGTCGCATACATAGCATATCAAGTTGGGAGCTGATGCTCAGTAAGTTGGCCTGAATTGGAAAATATTAATTTGAAGGTCTATGCCTTGTTGATGCCTCTATTAATTGGCAGATTATTAAGTTGAGAGTTTTGCTTCATTTGTACCACATGCATGTGCATTGTAATGAATCACATTCTAGTTGCATCTTTGAGTTGTTATGTTGATGAATTAGTTGTTATATCGTGTTGATGATTTTGTTATGACTAATATTATTTAAAAATTATGAAGTGGTGATTTTGTATGATTTGATTGTAACATAGCATTTATCATACATCCGATTATATTGTTTGATATCCCACCCTTTCTCTTTGTTTTAGCCGTTGCCTTTATACTGGTAACGTGCAGGTGATTCGCAGTGAGTGAAGAATTATCTTCATTAGTTCGAGTTGGTATTGTCGCTATGATACGTAGCACTCGGGAGGATGAACGCTTGTTGCTTTATAGTTGTTATTATTTCAGTTACTGAATTTTAAGTTGATATTATTAAGTATTTGGTTGTTTGAATTTGATTCAGTTAGATAAATATGATATGTTATTTGAAGTTGAAAATTATGATTCTGCTGCTTAGTTAATAAAAGTTATTTTGTTTTCAAAGACTAAATATGTTGTTATCGTTTCATCAGAGATAAAGTATTATGTATTTGTTTTACATGCAATTAAATGTCGTTGTTATAAGTTGAAAGTGTGACATCCTATTTAAATGTTGAAATTTTAAAACGATAATTTTATTAATATTCGTCGGGTAGAAATGGGGTGTTACAAATCTTTGAAATATATTATGCCAATTTCAAAGAAGGATGGAAAAGTAAGAATCTGTGTTGATTATAAAGATTTAAATAAAGTCAGTCCAAAAGATAATTTTCTTTTACCACATATTGACATGTTGGTTGATAACACAACAAAATTCAATTTTTTCTCCTATATGGATGATTTCTCTGGTTATAATCAGATAAAGATGACGTGAGAGGACATGGAAAAAACAACGTTTATCATCCTCTGGGGAACATTATGTTACATAGTGATGTCCACCGGCTTGAAGAACTACGTACCAGAGAACTATGACTATTCTATTCCATGATATGATGCACAAGGAAATTGAAGTTTATGTTGATATTATGATTGCCAAGTCCCAGACTGAGGAGGATTACGTTCATTACTTGTTGAAATTATTTCAGTGTTTGAGAAAGTTTAAACTCCACTTAAATCCAAACAAATTCATTTTTGGTGTTTGTTCTGAGAAGCTATTGGATTTCATTGTCAGCCAAATAGATATTGAAGTAGATCCAAATAAAGTCAAAGCTATTCGTGAGATGTCTGCGCATCAAACATAGAATCAAATTAAAGATTTCTTCCGATGTTTGAATTATATATTCAGGTTTATTTCTTTTTTATATATTTTTATGCTACCTTCAATTTTATATATATTAAAAATGTTTTGCATATTTTTATTAATATATTTATTTTTATCAAATACAAATTAATTTAGTAATATAATATAATAAGATAATTAAATTATCAATTTCTAAATTAAAAATATTATTTTATGTTATTTTGTATATTTTATTTTGTATTTATTAAGTAATGTAACAATTAATTTATCAGATACTCAAATTAATTTATTAAATATAAATTATCTATTAAATATAAATTATCGACTACTAAATAATAATTATTTATCATTAATTATTAACTATTAATTATAAACTAGTTTTAACAAAGAGAATCTAATAAAAAAATTGTAAGAATCAAATTGACGGCTTCCTCGAAGTAAAAATTTGGAGTTTGGCAAAAGGAAAGTTGTAAGAATCATATTCATACGTGGATATATAAGGATTTTATTTTAACATAAAAATAGTGTGAAAAATGGAGATAATGGTAGTTGAACGGGAAAATATGGCTAAGAAATAACATAATAATATATTAATTAATTAAAAATTAAATAATTTAATAGATACATATTGAAATTAATTTATTTACAGCTTAAATTTATGAGAAATGTGACAATCCATTTTAAATGTATTTTTGTAGGATATATTAAGGTTTTAGATATATATTCTCTAATATGTTTGTTCTATTCTATTTTTTTTTGCTAACAAGATCACTAACATGAAAATTTACAAATTTTGTAATGTGGGCGGGCCTGCCCTGCTTCACACTCATTTTTTTGGGTGGAATAAAATTTTAGGCCTATACTCTCATTAAATTTCGTTTCATTTTTTTATGAATTTTTACAAAACAGATCTAAATACAACGGACATACTTATTTATCATCTCTAATTATAATTACATAAATCATATAAAATCCGTGCATAATTATCCTATTCAAGATTGAAATTGATCCGCTTAAACATTTGGACATGCAATCAAAACAAATGAAAGAGGACATAAAAGAGAGAATAACTAGAAAATGAAATAAGTATAACAAAAAAGAGGAAATGGAATGAAAGAGAGAGAAATAAGAGAATGAAATAGTAAGAATTAGAAAAAAAAGAGAGAAATGAAAGGAGAAAGAAGGGAAATCAAACGTAATGGTAGTAGTGGTATGAGATAAAGATTAGTAGGATAAAAATTTAATTATTAATAATTAATTTAGTAAATAACTAAAGAGTCAGTGATATGATATATTATTTAACAATATAAATAAATATAAAAATTACGAAATTATCTTTTATTTTGGCACATAAAATAAGATATAATATTTGATGAAAAAACGGAGTAACAAATCTCAACTGTCCATTTTGAGAGTAATTTAACGGCTAAGATAACTGCCAACTCAGCTATCCACATCAAATCATCAGAACATCGTTCCGTCACTTTTTCTTTGCGCTTCATTATTTAACAAACTTAAGCTCCACGTCACCGATCCGCGTGAATCCTCAACAACCAATCACAACATTAAAACGCTTTTATATATAACTCCCTTCAATTATTTCATATCTCATCACTTCCATTCTCTATTTCAAACCCTTTCTTTCACCGATTTAATATCAATTTTCGATTTTCATTGAAATGGCGCCAAAGGGAGAGAAGAAGCCAGCGGAGAAGAAACCAGTGGAGGAGAAGAAATCGACTGTAGCCGAAAAGGCTCCGGTTGAGAAGAAGCCGAAGGCCGGGAAAAAACTACCTAAGGACGGTGCCGGCGCCGGAGACAAGAAGAAAAAGAGAAACAAGAAAAGCGTGGAGACATACAAGATCTACATCTTCAAAGTTCTGAAGCAAGTTCACCCAGACATTGGTATCTCAAGCAAGGCGATGGGTATAATGAACAGTTTTATTAACGATATCTTCGAGAAGCTTGCTGCAGAATCTTCAAGACTTGCGAGATACAACAAGAAACCAACAATCACATCGAGGGAAATTCAGACTGCTGTTAGGCTTGTTCTGCCTGGTGAATTGGCCAAGCATGCTGTTTCTGAGGGTACCAAAGCTGTAACTAAGTTTACAAGTTCTTAGATTGATTATCACTTTCTTTATTTCTAGATCTGGTTTTAGGTATCGTTGCAAATTTTTATTTAGGTTTTTTCTTTAAAGAGTAACCGAAGTAATGTGGTCTTATGGACTCAATTTGTATTAAAATCGTACAATTCAATACATATGACTTTTCCGTGGAATTTAGTTCATTCAGATTTTTGAAGCATATAGATTACGAATTTCTTATCTCATAAGTTGTGACCATTTCTTAACTCATAAGTTTCTTATTAAAAATGATAATTTGAAATAATTCTATTCCTCAAATTCGTAAGGTACGTTTGGATGACATATTCAAACAGTATTTTTGAGTTTTCACATGTTTAACACAACAATATTAGGTGTAAAGATAAATTCACTTTTTAACTCTCGCTTTCTTAGCTTCAATATTTCCACGGCGGGGTATCCCTTACACCGTGATTTTATGAGTTCCCAAACACATACTCAAACCAACTTCATCAAGATACGCAACTCATGGAGCCATTCTAAAATCTAAAAGAATAAACTTGGAATAAGAAATTTCTCCTATTAGAGACCATCTCAAAACTAAAAGTTTGATAGACTAAATAATTTTGTTCAAGTTACAAATGACATCGTTGAAAAGAATATCATTTCTGATTTTCCACAAACACCACAAAATCGCCAACCAAATAATTTCAACTTTGCATTTCTTAAACTTCCTGTTAAAAAATCTGCACTAATTCAAAAAATGTTTCTAAAGAGGACCCGCACAAGGTTCAGAAAACTCAATCCAATTTCCCACATTCTCTCAAATTTTTTTAGGCACAACACAATCAAAGGAAAGGTGGTTTATATCTTCATCCGCATGAAAACAGAAGACACCAACCCCTTCATGATTCGAGAGACAAAGAACTATTTTTTTCAATTGATCTTTCATTGCTTACCTATTCAAGAAATCCCTTCATCCAAAAGCTTTAATCCTAGCCGAATTTGACATCTTCCAAAGAAAGCAGAGAGCTCGACACTGTTCTTCCTCCACAAAAACTTGAACCTTGGTCTCCATGATGTGGATATAACCTTTTGCAGAATACGCCGAAAAATCTTCATTGTTCCACAAGACTTTATCCACTGCCCCAGGCACAAGAGATAAAGAAGATAAAACCCCCATCATTTGAAGAAATCTTTGAAGAATATAATATTGAAGATGAAGGTGTATACCGCAATCGCCCCAAATCCAAATACCATTTTGCCAACATCCCATATTAGCAACTTATTCGCCTTTAGCCTTGCTAAGAATATGTAAATCGGGAAAACTGCCTGCCATAGATCTCTCCCCACACCATTTAGCAGACCAAAAAGGGGTGTGAGTTCCCTCTCCAATCTTATAATTAACATAACCTACAAAAACAAAATCCAAGTTAGTAGTAAAAACTCATATCTTTGCTTAATCGTTCCATCAAGTCGAAGTTGACGGCTGCTGATGCGGCATTGATCCATAAGGACATGATGTTTGCAATCCCCATATCTAGCCTTGAGCACATTATACCAAACTCCTTTTCCACCAAGATTCTCCACCTCTATTTTGTAAGAAGAGCCAAATTAAAATCTTCAATACTCTTGATACCAACACCTCCTGATTCTTTAGGTTTACACACAACATTCCAACTAACCCAATGAATCTTCGATTTCTCATCCGATCCACTCCAAAGAAATCTTTGTTGAATTTTTTCAATTTCTCTCCACACTTTCACATGTGCTTAATGGAAAGAAAACAAAAAAAATGGATTAGTTGGAATCATACGATTTTTCAAAATCCACTTTAAAAAGAATGCATTACTTCTTATATCTAGTCGCTTGATCCATAATCTCATTAGCAACTAAGATGCCATCCAACATTTGTCTACCAGGAACAAAGGCCGATTGGCACTGAGAAATCAAAGCTCCTAAAAAACGTTTCAACCCGGTAGCAAGAAATTTAGCTACAATCTTATATAGGCACCTAACAAGACAAATAGGTCTATAATCTACAAGATTCTGAGTATTTTGGCCTTTAGGAATAAAAGTGTGAAAAGAAGAAGTGATAGCCTTTGATAAAGTTGCCTTACTACTAAAATCTTTCACAAATCTGATGATATCCTCCTTCAAAATATTCCAACACTTCTTAATAAAAACAAAGTTGTAACTGTCTGGTCCCTGACTATTAGATCCTTCACAACTCTACACCGCTTATTTAATCTCTTCATCAGAAAAAGGAGCCTCCAAGAAATTAGCCTATACATGCTCAAGAGTTCTACATGATAAACCTTCAAGCAAAGGTCTATCAAATTCAGGTTCAGTAAACTTATTTTTGAAAAAGTCCTTAATTGCTTCCTTGACTTCAACAACCGAATCCACCATGCCTTTATCTATGTTAATAAGCTCAATGACATTTCTTCTAGCCCTCCAGTTTACCAAGTTATGAAAATGTTTGGTATATAAATCACCATCACTATTCACTTCACTCTAGCTTTTTGAATCAACATGTTGTCTTTAATATATAAATTCCTCCACATAGAACTAGTAACTTTACTTCTTCTACCAACCAACTCTACCACTTCATTATCACCACAACAAAATAAAATCTTGTCTACATTGTTAATCTCCTTCACACCTTCTTCAACTTTCAAATCATGCCATCCAAACACCTCTTTGTTCCATCTTCTTAAGCAAAATATCAAGATTTTGAGTTTTTCTTTGATAATGAAATGACTCCTCCCTTCCACTTTAATCTCCTCCCATTACTTCTCCATAAAAATCAAGAAATCTTTATTATCAAACCAGTTATCATTGACTTTAAAAGGTTTGGGACCCCAATCAACAGTATTAATCTTCAGCCAAACAAGAAAGTGATAAAAAAATCCCATTTCCCGACAAATTAACCAATTACACCCAAGTCAATAAGAGACTCAGACAACAGGAACTTGTCAATCCTACTCATATATTTCCCGTCCACGCTAAACCAGCTAAAAGAATATTCAGAACAAGGCATATCCACAAGATTCATCTCCTTAATGAAGGCTTTAAATTCCCTTTGTTAAGACTTTTTATTCATAAATAGGCTTCTGTTCCTTTCATTAGAATTAGAAATGGAATTAAAATCGCCACCAATAATCTACAACTCGTCAACCAATCTATTTTTCAAAACCAACAGATCATTCCACATTTTTCTTTTTAACCTTATACAACAAGCAAAATAAATATTGATAACATAATACACATTTTTCATCCATATTAACTTCAGCCCTAAAAACCATCCCATTTGAAAGAAAAAAATAGGAAAGATAGAATCCTTTTTCCATAAAGTTATGTTGCCTCCCGATTGACTGATATCATTGCTGCTAAACCAACCAAACTCCCGATTATTCCACAAACTACCGACGATAGCAAAATTCACAAGTTTGAGTTTATATTTCTGAATAAATAAGATCTCAACATTACCTAAAAAAAATAATCTGACTAATTCTCTTTCTCTTTGAAAAGTTCCTCCTCCTCTAATATTCAAAATACCAATAGTCATGGTGCAGGCTTGGTGTGCTCCTTCTTGTCTTAAAACCATGATAAAAAGAAAGAGTAAAACATGACAAATTTAAAAAGAAAACATCAAATGAATTCATGGTTAATATCACAAACCATAACAATAAAAAAAATAAAAAAACATAAGAAGCTTACGGAATTTGAATATTTTACCAATATAATCCATTTTTTCATTTTTTTCAAATGTGGGTAATTTTGTGAATTTTTTATTTAAAAATTAGATTATATTAGTAAAAAAATTCAAACTTACATGATTGATTTATAATATTATAACCATCAAATTCCTTATTAATAATTTGGGAAATGTTTACGTCAATGACTCTCCTTACGGGGTTAGAAAAACACTCTTTAAAGGATTAGAAAGATAAGTAAAGAGTGTTACTAAGACACTCGTTAGTATGATCCTAATAATTTTTTAACCACCAAATAAAATTATATATATTAATAATAAAATAAATTTTAAATCTTTATCTAAAAGATAAAATTTACTCCGCCCATATCAAAATACTCGTCACAATTAGAAAAACTATTTGTTCCAAAATATTTGTCACTTTAAGTTATCAAATACATTAATGCTAATTCAAATACATCAATCATTAATAAAAATAATTTAGTAAAATCAATTATCTTTCATTTATTATAGTTTTTAATATGTGTAACTTAGACAGTAGTAGTAACAGCAGTAGCAGTAGCAGTGGCAGTAGCAGGAGCAGGAGCAGGAGCAGTAGCAACAACAACAACAGTAGCAGCATCGGTCCTGGTGAAGTCCTCTCTCGAGCAGGTACATCTTCATGCGGTCAGTTGTGTGGACTTGGATGGCCTCACAGTTAAACCACTCGATGTAGGTTCAAAGGGATTCATCGTTCCCCTGAATGATGGCCTCGAGAAATGCCTCAGTATTTAGGTGTCGTCGTGAGGCTGTGAAGCTGCCGGTGAACTGGGTTTCAGACTCCTCCATGACGTGATGGACTTGGGCGAGTGTTGGCTGAAGATTTTGATGATATTGTTCGAAGCGAAGCAAGTTGGATGTTTCGATTGGAATAAAGCAAAATGTCATGTTTCGAAATGGTAGAAGCAGTGCTTCGAATGGGCATGTCAAAACTCTGAGCTTCGAGTGACAGTTATGGGGATATATTCAAAGAAGTCTCGAAATGATAACAAGGCTGTGTCCAAGAAATGAGTTCGAAACGAAGAGTGCCAAAACATTTGAAATTCAAACGCAAGCGGGATGTTCGAAATTTAAAATATATGCGCTGGAGCATTCGAAAGACGCGTGGAAGCTAGAGGAGGGCATTGCTTTGCATGTTCTGAACGTGGAAGAATCTTATAGTAAGACCGTTATGGTCGAAGTAGTATAAATAGAAGTCTTAGCATTAGGATTTCGTGTGTCATATCTATTGTACAAAAATTCAGTAAACATTCAAAATACCACATGGCTAGGGAAACGAATG